CTAATAATGCACCAAAACCTAAAATGCAAAAAGAAAACAAATTCAAAACACTGGGTTGTCTTTCAAGAGCGCTTATTTAACGTCTTTTAGCTCGACGCCTATCTACTTCATGGCTCACGCAAGTGAGTGACCAAGGTGAGTCTTTCAACTTCACCTCCTAGATAAGCTTTGATTCTTTGCCCATTAACTGTCCATTTTCTTTCTGTTTCTGGATCTTCCAATTCCACAGCACCGTAAGGCTTAACACTTCTTATGAAGAATGACCCTGACCATTTAGATTTTAATTTCCCAGGGAAAAGCCTTAACCTTGAGTTGAACAACAACACAGATTGACCTGGATGAAACTGTTGTTTCAATATTTTCTTATCATGATATGCCTTGACTTTCTCCTTGTACAACTTGGAGGATTCATATGCATTGAGTCTCATTTCTTCTAATTCATGCATCTGAGTTCTTTTTTCTATGCTGAAGTTTTAGGATCAAAATTGAGGAATTTTAAAGCCCAATAAGCTTTGTGCTCCATTTCCACCAGGAGATGACATGACTTGCCATAAAAAATTTGAAAAGGAGACAACCCTGTGGGAGATTTGTATGCAGTTCTATAAGCCCATTGCGCATCATTAAGCTTCATTGACCAATCTTTCCTTGAGGCCGAAACAGTTTTCTCTAAGATTCTTTTGATTTCTCTATTTGACACTTCTGCTTGCCCATTAGTTTGTGGATGATAAGGTGATGAAACTTTATGCCTAACCCCATAATGCTCCAGACATTTTTGAAGTTGATTATTGTAGAAATGTGATCCTTCATCACTAATCACAACTCTAGGCGTGCTAAACCTATAAAAGATATTCTTCTTTAAAAAAATTATCATAGTTTTTGCATTTGCTTTTGCGGCTGTTACTGCTTCGACCTACTTAGACACATAATCAACTACTACCAAGATGTACTCATTGGAGAATGAGGATGGAAAAGGGCCTACACAATCAATTCCCCAACAGTCAAATACTTATACTTCCAATATGATATTCAGAGGCATTTCATGTCTTCTTAAGATTCCCCCTGTTCTCTGACAATTATTACATTGTTGAACATAGTTGTGGGCATCCTTGAACAAGGTAGGCCAGAAAAAACTAGATTGGAGGACCTTTGCAACAGTCCTCACTCCATTAAAATGTCCACCATAATGGGAACTGTGACAATGCCTGAGAATGCTTCTGGCTTCCTCATTTGTTACACACTTCTTAACAAGTTATCACTCCCTACTTTGAATAGATAAGGATCATCCCATACAAAATAGTGTGCATCTTTTAAAAACTTCTTTCTTTGATGCCAACTAAAAATCTTTGGAACAACCCTTGCAATTTTGAAATTTGTCATGTCAGTAAACCATGACCTCTCTTGAATAGCAAATAGTTTTTCATCTGGAAATTCATCTCTAATATCCTGTTATTTTGAAATCACCTCTTCATTAATAAATCTGGATAAATGATCCGCCACAAGATTTTCACTACCTTTTTTATCTTTGATTTCCAGATCAAATTCTTGCAGCAATAATACCCATCTTATCAATCTTGGTTTGAAGTCTGATTTAGCAAGCAAATATTTGATAGTTGCATGGTCTGAATTTTTCTAAAGCAAATACAATTGCAAGTAATTCTTTTTTAGTTGTTGCATAGTTGGTTTGAGCTTCATTCAAGACCTTGCTTGCATAATGAATAACATGAAAGACCTTTGCTTTTCTTTGACCAAGTACAACCCCTATAGCATAATCACTAACATCACAATTCAACTCAAAATTTAAATTCCAATCAGGTGTTGTAACGATGGGAGTTGAACACAATTTCTCCTTTATATCTAAAAAGGCTTTGAGGCATTCCTCATCAAAACAAAACTTCGTATCTTTGTTCAACAAATTGCTAAGAGATTTTGCAATCTTAGAAAAATATTCTATAAAATCCTGCATGTCACAGGAAACTCCTTATGCCTTTCACATTGATTGGAGGTGGTAGTTTAGAGATAACTTCCACCTTTGCTTGATCCACTTCAATACCCCGAGTTGAAATCTTGTGTCCCAACACAATACTTTCCGTGACCATGAAATGACACTTTTCCCAATTTAGCACCAAATTTGTCTCCATACATCTCCTCAATACCAGATCCAAATGTTGCAAACATAAATCAAATGATGGCCCAAATACTGAAAAATCATCCATAAAAATTTCTATGCAGCTTTTAACAAGATCAGAAAAGATAGCAGACATACATCTTTGGAAAGTAGCTGGAGCATTACACAACCCAAATGGTATTTTTCTATAAGCAAAAACACCAAAAGGACATGTAAAAACAGTCTTTTCTTGATCTAAAGGATCCACCACAATCTAATTGTAACCAGAATATCCATCTAAAAAACAGTAATCAATACACATTTTGGGTGAGTCTTTTCAAGCATTTGATCCATGAAGGGTAATGGAAAATGGTCTTTTCTTGTGGCTTGTTTGAGTTTTCGGTAATCAATACACATTCTCTATCCATTGACTGTCCTTATGGGAATTAATTTGTTTTCTTCATTGCGAATAACTATAATCCCACCTTTCTTAGGAACAACCTACACAGGACTCACCCAACTACTGTCAGAAATAGGATAAATCATATCTGCTTCAAGAAGTTTCAGTACCAGGATAAATCATATGTGCTTCAAGAAGTTTCAGTACCTCTTGTTTAACAACCTCCTTCATAGTAGGATTGAGACGTCTTTGTGGTTGTGCAACAGGCTTGTAATCTTGTTCCATGTAGATCCTATGCATACAATAAGATGGACTTATACCTTTCAAATATGCTAATTTCCACCCTATGGCTCCCATATTATTCTGTAGAATTGCTATTAATTTCTCTTCCTCAATTGGAGATAATGAACTGTTGATTATCACTGGTTTATATCTCTCTGTTGAACATTCAAGGACTTGATGTTGCACTTGATGAACATGAAGATTGTTGATTTTGATGATGATTCAAGAACTCAAAGACTTAGAGTGTTGAAGACTTGTTTTGTATTGTAATAACTCTGTTTCAATTAGATTGAGTCTGTAATATTAGAGTTTAAGATAGCCGGTACATAGTCTGCACCTTAGAAGTTTCAAAAAGCTCAAATTTATCGTCCAGGCTCGGCTTTAATCGATTAAATAGGGAAATAATCGATTAAAACAGTGAGAAAAACCATTTTCTGTATCTGCTCACTGGTTTAATCGATTAAACCACCTGTTAATCGATTAACAGGCCTGTTAATCGATTAACAACCCTTTTAATCGATTAAAACAGAGAGTTTTAGGGTTCTGTTGATTTTGGCTCTGTAATAATCGATTAACACTTCATTTAATCGATTATTTCAGTCAGATTTTGATTTTTAACTTCAAATCAACTCTATTTTCGAAAACCCTATTTCCAAGAATCCTAATTCTAAAATTCCCAATTCCCAAACCCTAATTTCTCTACTTAAGCTTCTCTATGACACTTAGAAAAGAAGAACAACCTTTTTCATACAAAAGTTAAGTGTTGTAGTGCCAGAGAACTGTTTGTTGCAAGAAAAAGGGGCTTTTGGAACCTGGTGTGGGCTAGAAGCGATAAGAATCACTAAGTGGAGTTCTTAGTGGATTGTGTGCTGTGCCGTCTCTAGGGAAAGTTGTTCATCATCTCTTGTGGATTTCAAGAGAGGTGTTTTCTTATCTTTATCTTTTCAATTGTAATTTGCTTGTAACAACTTGATTATAGTGACATCGTTAATCCTCTGTTTGAGTGATTAGCAACTGGATGTAGGGTCTTTTGATCCGAACCAGTATAAATTTCCTATGTAAGATTCTCTTCTCTTCTCTTCTCTATTTACATTTACACAGTTTTTAATCGGTAAAATTTGGGGAAAATTTTGAAAACCGAATTTTTATTAAGAAACCAATTCACCCCCCCTCTTGGTTTTTGTCCGACCACGCGAACATTCCGCTGCGCGATTCTAACAAGTGGTATCAGAGCTTGCTTTGATAGTCATTCAAACTTTTTGAAAATGGCCGGACAAAATCAAACTTTTGCCGAAGGTGCGTCTATCAACAGACCCCCACTTTTTGCGGGTCAAAATTATCCTTTCTGGAAAGTAAGAATGCTAATATTTTTAGAGTCTGTTGATAGAGGCGTTTGGGACGCTGTTTTAAACGGTCCATTTGTTCCTAAAGTTACTGAAAACAGTGTTGAAGTTCCCAAACCTTTTTCTAGATGGACTGCGAAGAAAACGAAAAGCA